AAAAAAGAGAGCCGAGAGAGAGAGAGGGAGAGAGAGAGAGAGAGGAGGGGAGAGAGAGGAGGGAGGGGAGAGAGAGAGAGATAGAGAGAGAGAGGGAGAGAGAGAATACAGTATTATATAATAACAACAATGTTGTGGGGCTATTCGACGTGCTTGTACGTTAATTAGTTTTCTGTTTCAGTTGACTGTTCGTGTATAGGTCTACAGAAAAAGAGGGTGAAAGGAACAATTAGGAGCAAATGAATTACAGGAAAGATCAACTAGGAAAAGCCGAGGACGCCTTAACGAGCAAGATTTATAAATAACCTGAACAAGTTAGTAATTAACAAGACAATAAACCGCAACTCACTTATGAGGGGCTCAGATAACAGAGAAGCTATCATCTTCATCTTTCCGACTTCTCCTATGCAGCATATATAAATTATATAGTATGTCTTTTTTTAACAGTGTTGTGTTGCTGAACCAGCCCTAGTGACAAAATACTTTTTCTCTGTGGTCTATTATATTGTTCAGATATGTTTTAGTACAATTAACGATGTGATGAGGGTGCCCTTTTCAAGGTTCCTCGGAAAAAAAAGGTAATTTCCTATGTTATTTTCGTTCCTCTCTAAAAGTAATCGAAGGGGTTTGTTGGTTGTTGTTGGGTTGTCGTTGTTGTTGTTTTTGGGGGTGGGAGGGGGGTTGTTTGTTTGTTTGTTTGCTTATTTATTTTTTTCATTTTTTTCATTTTTTTTTTTTTTTTGGAGGGGGGGTTCTTTACGATAAGCGTGTGCCGTGCATACCAGCTTAAAATTCAGTAAGACGGAATAAAGGTATTAAAATAGATTTCTTTGTTCTGGCTGGGATATTCTTAGCCTTTGGAAGGGACGCATTCAGAATTTTTGCATCGCTACCTATACTTCCTCGGATTGGAATTGTCGTTATTAAGTGCAACTAGCCTGTTTTCGCGTTGATTTAATACCATTTTAGTTACTAGCCGATCTTACTTTTGTGTGTGTGTGTGGGGGGGGGGGGGGGGGTGCACGGGGCACATTAAGCATCTTCAGTTTGGTAGAATTTTGCCTGGGTGGTGGCCGAAACTACTCTTATCGATTTTATGACAACCAGGGATATTCAACATTCCCAACTTGCACACGGGACCTCCGAGATTTTTTCACTCTTATCCGAGAAGGTCAGGTGTTAGATCTTACCTTCCTTAAGATCAAGGATGTGGCTGAAAAACAGCAGTAAGAAAGAACCAAGGAGTATAGCAATAGAAAGGCAATCTAAGACAGAGTCAGGAGCCCGGAGGAGGGGGCAAGGGGGGAAAGGAGAGGGGGCAAAAAGTGAAGAGGAAAGCAAACAACCGTATATGGTTAAAAGAGAGCGGGCAAGGGGTGAAATGAGAAAATTTCAGAGTAGAACACTTTTCGTTGCATCCATGTTTCGCACCCGGGGCCGATTAAAATGAGAGGGGCATACTGTACTTCTAGACCACGAGAGCCCCCTTAGCTTCGCTGATAATGGCCTACGTACATGTGCTCTTGACCTATCCACTGTCACCACTGCTTGCATCTCATAGGACCACTGTTCGACCAATTTTAAAAAAAAACAGCAAATAATTGAACGTCTTCTCTGTTCCCCCGATTAGCTCCACCCATTGGTTTAATAAGCAGAACCAACCAATCAACACCATTTTGAGATTGATAGAAAACATCTTTTTTTTTTTTTAGATAATAAATAAAACGAATACAAAGCGAAACTTCTTAACTCCGCTGACAATTTTTTAAAAAGCAGTTTCACAAAGAGAAAATGGCGAAAGAATAATAGGGTTTGGGTCCTCTTGGGGATGGGTCTGATCGGGAACAGTCGGTCTATCGACCCCTTAGTCCAAGGTCTCCTATTCATAGGGTCTACTAATTTTGCAACTACAGAGTGGGATCTGTATTATTTATTGATGCTATGCGGAATGCACATTTTATATGCATGGCATTTTGTGCCTTGACAGACGATCTTAACCCCTTCACTGCCAGGCCTGAAAATTGAGTAATAGGGGAGGTCTGCGAGTAAAGTTGCATTCCTGTGTTCCATAAAACCCGGTTTAAAGGAACAAAATTTCATTGCAGGCCATTCTTTTTAGGTTTGAATAAAAAAAGTCTGGCCAAATAATGACAACACCAGCGCTAATAAACTTCAGTTCGTCGATGACCAGAGCATCTTAAACACAAACCCCAACAGCTTGCAAGAATGTACAAATAGCCTGAATGAAAACTGCAAAAAGTACCAGATGAAAATCAGCATTAATTTCCAAAACAGAAGTAATGAATGTCAGCAGAAACCTAAGGCCCACTAAACAACATCATCAAAGGGACATAATTCAAACAGGTTGAGGAATTTAAATACCACTGGAACATAATATTTACAAATGACGGAAGATTGGTCAGGGAAATTGAAATGAGGACCAACAAGCAAATAAATGCCGTAACTTATAAATTGTTACCACTACTCATTCACTAACATCTATTAATGAACCAAAAAGACGATTTATCAACAGTGTATTATTCCTTTTAACACTACTTTCCAATGCCAGACATGGCGGCTGAACACAGCACTAAAAAAATGAAGACCATTGCCTAAGACATGAAATACTTCAGAATATTCATTAACGTCATTACGGAAAACTGCAGAATGAACGAAACTGTCCGAAATTTAACAGGAAAGAAACCGGTTATGGAACACATAGAACAAAAATGATTGAGTGTGTCGGGCATCAGATCTGATGAGAATGTCACCAAAACAACCATCTGCACGAGCTTACAACTCAAAAGAGTCAAAATCCAAGGGCACGGTGTGACCACTCAAAACTTAGCTGGATGGCATTAAAAAGGTCCGCCAAAAAGTAATAACAAACCAACAGCAGAAGCCACCCACTTAGCCTTTGACCAAAAGTTGCGCCTCTCTCCTACGATACAGGGGGGAGGATAAAGTAAAGTAGGTAAAGAAGTTTGGTAACGTCGTTTGTCCCTCCCAGCTGACAGTCAAATAACCGC